ATTACTTCCTTGGGCAATCTAGTGTTAACAATGCAATTATTTGTTATAAATGCATGATAACAACCGAAGTGATCGATAGATCGATGCATAATCAACCTACAATTACTAAGAATTGTTCCTTTGGTTGGATTTGGTCGGAGTTGGTTCCGAAGTTCCGCACGTAGAACGAGAACGTGATTCGATCATGAGAAACTTTCTATTTACAAAGACTCTGTAGTGAAATGAATAAATGATTTGTATCTGAATGAAGTAGATAAACCCATTGCAATTGTAAATTTTTCACGCGGTTGAAAACTTCTGGAGATGCCGCACTCAATAGAGAGAGCTTGTAGATCATTCCGAAGATCCAAAGAATCCCTGTGCGCCCGGTTCCCACCGGGAAGGCCATTGTTCACGCGGAGCATAATGCGCTAAAGGATTCCGGTGGAAATTTCGTCGGCGCGACCTCCTTTCGCGTTGGCGAAAATAAAAAGGAGAAGGGAAAAGGAGGCAGGCCGGGTTTTTCGGCCGGTCCAAGGCGGCGCAAATTGGAGTAGATACACAGACCGTGTAGGAAAGCAAATTTGGTTTAGCTTCTCGCCGTTGCATTCCGAGGCGGTTTCCCTGTTTCTGTTAAAGCCTGTGTAGGTGCACAAGTTCCGTGGCCCGGTGCGCTTGTGTCGAACTCGTGGGTGGATAAACTCTCGACGTCAGGGACGTATGAATAAAAAAGAGGGCCCGCGGGCGGCCGTGCAGCGGCATTGTCATCGTCCTCGACGACGTCCTCGTCGTCGTGAAAATTCCACGCGGTTTCTCCCGTTCCCGACGAGAAAATGGTTCGGGCTGCGCGAGACCGAGTACAACGTATCACCCAACCGCGCGCCCCTTTAAGCTTTGCCCGATTCAATTTCCACGATTATAATTGATATTCTTCCAACTTGGCCAGACCGCGAGCGGTCCGTCTGTTTCGGACAGATTCTATGAAATCTGGGTCGCCGTTCTCGCGGATAACGATCCCGAAACTCGTCTCGTTCGACGGCCTCTCGAAGTCTGTTTATTGTCAATACGATTCTTCCGATTCAGTCGAATCGTCTGTCGATATTTTAGAAAATCGTGTTTTTTTTTCTAAGAAATTTTTACTAAAATTAAATTATACCTCCTTTATTACTGTCTAATTTAAATATGGCCTCTAGTGGTAAAAAAAGTTGTCCACGTATGAACCAATCTTAATTAATTACCGTACCTTCAATTTTTATAAACTTTGATATTGCCTAAGGAATTGGAAACGTCTTGCAGGAAATTTATTTCCCTTTCGATCGGTATCAAAGCTTGTACATTGTAACGGAGGAACGGTTACCGGGATCGTACGGGAACGAACATGACAATAGGTCTTGCAAATCTCGCGTGCTCATAAAAAGCAGCGAAGAACGAACGGGACACTTTCATTGCGCTTTTATTTCGACTCTTGTCCCCTCTTATTCCGAATGGGGAAAGCTTCAGAGATACGAGGTATACGTTTCCTTGCTCTCTTTTCGCTTTAATGCTTCGTGTCATGCCACTTCCTCGCAGATTCCAAAAAAGAACTGATCGTCGTTAGGGTTTAGAATCCGTCGATCGACGTGGCAAGCAGTCGCAGGAAATAAATGATTAACACTAGAAAGACTGAAACTTAGTATATACCTATATTGTATTACTTCCTTGGGCAATCTAGTGTTAACAATGCAATTATTTGTTATAAATGCATGATAACAACCGAAGTGATCGATAGATCGATGCATAATCAACCTACAATTACTAAGAATTGTTCCTTTGGTTGGATTTGGTCGGAGTTGGTTCCGAAGTTCCGCACGTAGAACGAGAACGTGATTCGATCATGAGAAACTTTCTATTTACAAAGACTCTGTAGTGAAATGAATAAATGATTTGTATCTGAATGAAGTAGATAAACCCATTGCAATTGTAAATTTTTCACGCGGTTGAAAACTTCTGGAGATGCCGCACTCAATAGAGAGAGCTTGTAGATCATTCCGAAGATCCAAAGAATCCCTGTGCGCCCGGTTCCCACCGGGAAGGCCATTGTTCACGCGGAGCATAATGCGCTAAAGGATTCCGGTGGAAATTTCGTCGGCGCGACCTCCTTTCGCGTTGGCGAAAATAAAAAGGAGAAGGGAAAAGGAGGCAGGCCGGGTTTTTCGGCCGGTCCAAGGCGGCGCAAATTGGAGTAGATACACAGACCGTGTAGGAAAGCAAATTTGGTTTAGCTTCTCGCCGTTGCATTCCGAGGCGGTTTCCCTGTTTCTGTTAAAGCCTGTGTAGGTGCACAAGTTCCGTGGCCCGGTGCGCTTGTGTCGAACTCGTGGGTGGATAAACTCTCGACGTCAGGGACGTATGAATAAAAAAGAGGGCCCGCGGGCGGCCGTGCAGCGGCATTGTCATCGTCCTCGACGACGTCCTCGTCGTCGTGAAAATTCCACGCGGTTTCTCCCGTTCCCGACGAGAAAATGGTTCGGGCTGCGCGAGACCGAGTACAACGTATCACCCAACCGCGCGCCCCTTTAAGCTTTGCCCGATTCAATTTCCACGATTATAATTGATATTCTTCCAACTTGGCCAGACCGCGAGCGGTCCGTCTGTTTCGGACAGATTCTATGAAATCTGGGTCGCCGTTCTCGCGGATAACGATCCCGAAACTCGTCTCGTTCGACGGCCTCTCGAAGTCTGTTTATTGTCAATACGATTCTTCCAATTCAGTCGAATCGTCTGTCGATATTTTAGAAAATCGTGTTTTTTTTTCTAAGAAATTTTTACTAAAATTAAATTATACCTCCTTTATTACTGTCTAATTTAAATATGGCCTCTAGTGGTAAAAAAAGTTGTCCACGTATGAACCAATCTTAATTAATTACCGTACCTTCAATTTTTATAAACTTTGATATTGCCTAAGGAATTGGAAACGTCTTGCAGGAAATTTATTTCCCTTTCGATCGGTATCAAAGCTTGTACATTGTAACGGAGGAACGGTTACCGGGATCGTACGGGAACGAACATGACAATAGGTCTTGCAAATCTCGCGTGCTCATAAAAAGCAGCGAAGAACGAACGGGACACTTTCATTGCGCTTTTATTTCGACTCTTGTCCCCTCTTATTCCGAATGGGGAAAGCTTCAGAGATACGAGGTATACGTTTCCTTGCTCTCTTTTCGCTTTAATGCTTCGTGTCATGCCACTTCCTCGCAGATTCCAAAAAAGAACTGATCGTCGTTAGGGTTTAGAATCCGTCGATCGACGTGGCAAGCAGTCGCAGGAAATAAATGATTAACACTAGAAAGACTGAAACTTAGTATATACCTATATTGCCCNCTATGAGAAATGCACTGAATACGAAACAGAGCCAGGAAATATAAACTATAAATCAAGATTCAATAAAAAAAAATAAATAGCATTAATGGTCAGCGTGAGAGCTCGTTATCGTGAAGAATGAAACGGTGCTTCTTATTATTGTCGACGTATGGGTGGTCGTTTTCAGGCCGACGAGCTCGCGACATGAACCACTGCCAGAGGACATTCTTCAGGCCGAAGTGGTCGGACGTAATGGCAGCTGCTCCAAGTACCGACCGCATTGCCCCGTGGGACTCTTCGACTTGATTGGAGTCCTCGGTTGAGTCCCTGAAAAACCGCCGCGGAGCACCGCCGTTCCACTCCGATTGGGTAAACAATCCGATTTCACGTCCGTACGTTACCTGTACTCTCGCAATCAACCTTCGTTTCGCAATGCTTCAAGAGCAGGAAGTAACGTTGGCCCGGCGAGCATCCTAGCGGACGCGTTCCCTCGACGAGAACTTCGCTCCGTCGGTTTCAATAAATAGAATTTATTCGAAAGAACTCGCGTTTTATTTCCACTCGTATTATAATGTCGCTGATCCTGGCAAATCCGTTCTTCCTTTTCTTCATCGATTTCTCGATAATCGTCTCTCATTTCACATTTTTTATTTCTACCCGTGTTACAACGTTAATGCTACTTTTTATTAAAAAATAAAAAAAAAAAAAGGAAGGAAGGAAGAGAGGAGACAAGATAAGGAATCACGTGGGGCGATAAATCTGAAAGTTCGCCGACCGGTTTTCCAAAGATTTCTCCGTTCGCGCGATAGAAAGAAAAATGTTCGATGAATTCCACGGTCGTCGAAACTTTTGCTGTCCCGCGGAACTTTCCCCAGCGAATTTCCGGGAAACAAATTTTGCCTCCCCCCCCTACAATCTCCATCCCTTAACCATTAAAAACGGTCGTCAACGTCGGAATCAGTTTTGCTCGTTGGCCGATTTCGAGAAAACTTCATAACGTCACTTCACATTCACATCTTCATACGTAATATTCTTATTTACCAAACGAGCGTAACACAAATTCGATCACTTTCCTCGATCTCGATTTATATGATAAATGCGTGAAGTAGTTTAATTATTATTAGCCGGTTAATTAGTGTCAGCATTTCGTTTTAAATGTAATATCGGCGCCATCGTAATTAACAATAATGTTACGGCGTTAGTTTAACGAGGGAATCGACTTTTCCGTCCTCTCCTCTATACGTGTACACGCGCTCGTTAAGCGGCCAGCGATTTTTGCCGCTGGATCAAGTTCGTTAACCGTCGATTACAATATTTATACCGGCGAATTGAATCCTCTCCTGACAGCTAGCATTAATTACTTCCCGCGAATTTCACCGAATAATCTGGCACAGTAATGGCTTTCATTGATTCGGTTCCCACCTACAACTCCCTCCTCCACCCCTGCGCGCCCATCCTCCCCCGCCCCGGGTGACCCCGAGGATCCGAACGTCTAGTTACGAATTTGCATATCGACTAGAGAAATTTGTATGCACGCCTTCCCCGAGAGAGGAGGATTCTTCACAAACGACGGGATTATCAAGGCATCGTGGATTTCTAACTAAGATGTGCGAACGTCGCCCGCAGCCGATATTACGATTTTCCGCGGTCTCAGGTTCCTCGCAAAAATCATCGTCGATGATGCACCAACGTCGTTAACTCGTTATTCATTTATTTATTTATATAGGGCAATAAAATAATGTAGAAATAATTTATAAAAATGTACAGCTAGTAACAACGAAATTGNTTAAACGAGAAATATGTTACAATTTCTGTTGAGACTTTCTATTAAGAATTTTTACTCAATGGCTTCTCTCTATGATTTTTCATGTAATTCAATATAATAATTGAGAGGGCAGAAATTGGGACATTTACTATATTTAATGAATGGATTACGCAGAATGCACTGTAGGTTTGGGTAGGTCACGATTCAGTGCGAGGCAGGAGCGTAGACGTATCAAAAGGAAATCTGTGTTAGCAGTAGGAAGCTCAAAGGTTGATAAAAATAAAAAGGTTTCCCGTGGAAGTTCTCAAGACGCTCCTCAGGTTTACGGATACACATCAAAGGGGAGAGAGTCACCCGGTCTCTAACGACACTTCCCTTGCTAGAAACTTGCCAAGTTTAACGAAAAATTCATTTGCAACTTGCCAGTCCAACCTTTTCCCATCGACGTAACTTATACTTCAAATCTTTGATCTCTCGCTTTACTTAGAATTTTATGTAAAACATTCACAGTGTCGATTTAAATAATGAAGACTCGTCAGTTTTCCTATGGAAAATCAATTGAAAAATTAATCAATACTGATGTCGTTTTCGCCCACACTATATAAATTAATAATAGAGCATTGCACATTTTACATAGAAATAGACAAGATTAACATAAATGCTATGAATCATTGTCTCTATCTATTTTATATGATTCTAATCTGTTTCACTAGGTCGAGTCCATTTTCAAGTATCACTTCCAAACACATAGATCAGAAATAAAGTTCATTAATTTAAAAAGTTTAAAATGCGAATATTTATTTGTTAAACCCATTTCCAACAAGACTGAATAGGCATTTTATTATACCTTCTTAAAAGACTATTCCTAAATATCTCTAAATGTATGACGTGTTAGATCATTTACATTTTTACTTAGTAATCCTTTAAAGACTGTGTCCAATATTCAAATGTATTAATAATAGATTTTTGTAATTAGTATTTAAATGAATATTAAATGTTGAACTTGAACTTTTCACCTTTTCGACAAGTGTAATCCTATATTAAATTACTTTATTATTATAAAGAATGTTCTTCTTTTCCTAAAATTTATATTCCTACAAAATACTATCCTAATCCATTCCTGAGCTTAAGTGACTGAAATAAATCATATTTATTTATCCATTTAATAGATAACTAAATGAATAAAAAACTGCCATCTGCTTATCGCTTGCCAGTACGAATCTATT